AAAAAAAAAAAAAATATATATATATATATATATATATATATATATATATATATATATATATATATATATATATCATATTGCAAAAAACAAAGAGAAAAAAGTGAGAGTCTAATACGCCAAGTCCAAAATCACCATACGAAACTATTGGAACCATCGAAACACTATTCCAGAGTCGTCTACATAAAAGTCAAACTCCGGTCAACAACTTAAGCCTTCAACCTTGGTATTAAGTCTCCCGATTCACTCGAAGACCCTCCAGAAACCAATCCACCCATCCCGCAAAGTCACATAACCATGAATGAGTATGTATATATGAAGAAATAAATAGGGGGACAAAGCTATAATACATGAAATGACCGGTCGGGTCGTTACAGAAGGTTTAGGAATTCCTTAGGATTGACCGTAGGTTGACTTTATGGCTATCGGATTCGGAATTTGGTTTTGGGACTTGGAATAGGCCCATTTTGCTATTTGGAACTTGTCTGCCAAAATTTGGTGTACCAAAATATTCGGATGATTTATATTTTGTTATTGATTAATTATCAGATATTTACCACTTTCCTTTTCTTATTATCTGTTGTGTTGGCTTGCTTGGTATTCGGTGTTAGGCGCCAACACGGTCCCGTGGTTGAGATTTCGGGTTGTGACAAATTGGTATCAGAGCACTAGGTTACCTAGGTCTCACGAGTCATGAGCAAACTTGGTAGAGTCTTGAGGATCGGTATGGAGACGTCTGTACTTATTTTCTAGAGGCAATAAGGCTTTAGGAAATTTCACTTCTTTCTTACTCTGTCGTACGACTTTATTCTATCGCTGAAATTTGAATCATTCTTTTCTTATTCTCTCACATATGGTGAGGACACGCACAATATCCACAGCTGATCAAGAGCCGGAGCCCCAGGGTGATGCCACTATTAGGGGTAGAGGCCGAGGTAGAGCCAGAGCTCAGCCTAAAGCCCGTGCTGCAGTACCCATTGCAGAGCCTTAGATCGAGCAGGAGGAGGAGATCCCTGTTCCGGTCGTGCCAGTTGGACCATCTCAGGTCCCAGAGAGGTTCATTGCTACCCCCGTACTTCAGGACTCCATAGTCCGCCTGGTCGGTCTTATGGAGAGCGTGGCCCATGCCAGTGTATTTCCTGTAGCACCAACCGTCTCACAGGCTGGGGGAGGAGCTCATACTCTCGCTATTCACACATCAGAGCAGATGGCTCATGGATATCAGACTCCGACAGTCCCAGCTGCTCAGTTTGTTATTGCTACACAGCCCGGGGAGGGACCAACTATGTCATCCGAGGGGTTGAAGAGATTGGAAAACTTCACCAAATTGTTTCCTATTCGCTCTAGTGGATCACCTTCTGAGGACCCCTAGGATTTCTTGGACCTTCTCCATGAGGTATTGCGCGACGTTGACATCGTGGAGTCTAATGGAGTCGACTTCGCAGTGTTTCAGATGTATGGCTCTACCAAGATGTGGTGGCAGGAGTATGTTCGGGGTAGACCGGCAGGTTCACCTCCGCTCACTTGGGATCAGTCTCACAACTATTCTTGGAGAATTTCATCCCCTTCACTTTGAGAGAGACTTCCACAGCCGATTTGAGCGCCTCCAACAGGGTAACATGACTATTACCCAGTACGAGACCAGGTTCATGGATTTATCTCGCCATACAGTTCTCTTGATCCCTACTAAGAGGAGAGGGTGAGGAGATTTATCGATGGCCTTACTTACTGTATCAGACTACATTGGCTAGAGAGATTGAGGATGATATTTCTTTCACGCGGGTTGTGAAGATTGCTAGACGGATTGAGAGGATTCATGGTTAGGGTAGGGAGGCAGCATCTAAGAAGAAGCCTCTTCATTGTGGTGGCTTCAGTAGTGCCTCGTCTAGAGGTAGGGGTTCATTTTGTAGAGGCCATCTCAGCATGCTGATTTAGTCAGTGCTTCAGGCATCACACGATGCTTCGGGCATTCGTTGTTCTTATGGGTCTCATCCTGAGTAGCCAGCATACTGCGGACCTTCAGCTCCGGTTAGTGCACCTCTGAGTCAGAGTTATCAGGGTGGTTATTTAGGTAGACAAGGTCAGTTCCAAGGTCAGCAGTCACATCAGCTGAGGACTTGTTATAGTTGTGGAGATCTGAGGCACGTCGTGAGGTTTTTCCCCGGGTCACTGAGACGCATGCCACAATAGGGCATTGTGCCATGGTTCCGGCACCGGTTGCTCCACCGCCCGCTCAGCCAGCTAGAGGCAGGGTTCAAGCAGCCCGAGGTGGTGGTCAGGCCGATAGAGGTGGAGGTCAGGCAGTGAGGGGCCTCCAAGAAGAAGAGGTCAGACTGTTGGAGCTCAGCCCCGTTGCTATGCATTCCCAGCTAGACCTGAGGCAGAGTCGTCGAATGTGGTCATCACAGGTACTTTTCCGATTTGCCATAGAGATGCCTTAGTTTTGTTTGATTCGGGTTCCACTTATTCGTATATGTCATCCTATTTTGCTTTATATTCGGATATGTCTCGTGATTCTTTAAGTACCCTTATTTATGTGTCTACTCATGTTGGGGATTCTATTGTGGTAGACCGTGTTTATCGGTCGTGTTTGATCACTATCAGGGGTTATAAGACCAGGGTAGACTTTCTGTTACTCAATATGGTGGACTTTGATATGATCTGGGCATGGATTGGTTGTCACCATACCATGTTATCCTGGGTTATCACTCTAAGACCGCGACGTTGGCTATGCCGGGGATGCCGAGGTTGGAGTGGAGAGGTTCATTGAGTCATGTCCCTAGTAGGGTGGTGTAATTTCTGAAAGCACAATGGATGATACTGAAGGGTGCTTGGCATACTTAGCCTTTGTGAGGGATGTTAGTGATGATACTCCTACCGTTGATTAAGTTCCGGTAGTGAGAGAGTTCCCGGATGTGTTTCCATCAGATTTACCAGGCATGCCGCTCGATAGGGATATTGATTTTGGTATTGACTTGAAGTCGGGTACTCAGCCCATATCTACTCCACCATATTGCATGGCACTAGTAGAATTGAAAGAATTAAAGGAACAACTTCAGGAGTT